GTGTTAGACCTTGCTCATTCCCAATTCGTTTTACAGAAAACCAAATTAGGGTTTCCATCCAAAGAGAAGAAAAAATCTCGCGCTTGATCCACCAACAAGTGGTATCAGAGCTTGGTCGTCGGCGAAAAAGGCTCAACAACCTTCGACGAGGATGAGTTCGAGCGCTGGAAATGGCAACAGAGTTTACATGGCGGATGGTTTCTCGCAGACGCGTCCTCCCAGGTTCGAGGGAGTCAACTATGGATACTGGAGAAACCGGATGGAGTTGTTCATCGGCTCAACCGATCCAGATCTGTGGAACATCGTACTCGACGGACCGCTGGAAGTCAAGGAGGTGAGGGTAAGGTGGTCCGAACAGGACAAGAAGAACTTCCAACTCAACTCGAAAGCTACAAATCTGATGTACTGTGCGCTTGGCCCAGAAGAGTATCATCGAGTGACTGGGTGCAAATCGGCCAAGGAGATCTGGGATAAACTCCAGATTGCACATGAAGGTACCTCCCATGTCAAGATTTCCAGAATAAACAGCCTGAAACAAGAGTTCGAGTCGTTTGTTATGAAGCCGGATGAATCTATCAAGGAAATGAACGATAGATTCATGAACATTGTCAACAGTCTCAGGAATCTGGAGGTTGACTATCCTAGCGGTGATTTGGTGAGGAAAATTCTCTGGGCTCTACCAAAAAGATGGACACCGAAGGTCACGGCTATTGAGGAATCAAAGGATTTGACTAAACTAAGTCTCAATGAGTTGATGGGATCACTGGTGACTCACGAGGAGAAACTCAGAAGAGAAGAAGGAGAAGACCCACGTAGAGAAAAGAAAGGAATCGCATTCAAAGCAGTCTCGCACGGAGACGATCTAGATACGTTTGAAGAACTAGAAGACGAAGAGTTAGCACTACTCAGCAAACATGTGGCTAAGTTACTCAGACTGAGAAAGGAAAGAAGAAGAGGTGCATTGGTCAACAAAGCTAAGGATGCAGACAGTGAGAAGGAACAACTCAAGTATTCCAGAACGAGTGGAAGGAAGAACAATGCGGACAGGACACTCACTCAGGGAGGATGTTTCAAATGTGGACGAGCTGGTCACATTAAGGCAGAGTGTCCTCAACTGAAAAAGGAACGAGCTTATACCGCTACCTGGAGCTGCAGTGAGGAAGAAGAAGAAGAAGAGTCAGACCCAAATTACAAGCAAGAGGCGTACATGGCAATTGATAACAGTGAGGATGAAAGCGACGTCCCTAAGGTAACATCTTCTAATTATTATTCTGATTATTACAGTGAAAATGATCAGATGATTGAAACAATTAGGGAAATTCAACTTGAGTTTGGAAATGTCAAGAATAAATATAGCAAGTTAAAAAGGGAGTATCTTGAACTGCAATAAAACTATCAAAAACTGTTAAATGACAAGTTAACTACAGACTTGAGGTTAGAAGAAAGTAAGAAACTGTGTGAGGCGTTAGAAAACAAAATAGCCAAAACTAATGAAAGAATACAGTGTCAACATGGTAAAGAATGCTGTCAAAATGAGGCAGTAGAAAACAAAATAGTCAAAACTAATGAGAGAATACAGTGTCAACTTGGTAAAGAATTCTGTCAAAATGAAAGACAATGTAAGTCAGATGCTGTCGAGTGTTTCTATTGCCATAGAAGGGGTCATTATATAGCAAACTGTAAAAGAAGAATTGACAGGGAAGAAAGGATAAAGAATCAGACATGTTTTTTGTGTCACAAACAGGGTCATATTAAAAGAAACTGTCCTAAACTAGAAGTAAAACTTGGATTATCCAAACTGGTTTGGATACCAAAACTCAAGTAATCACGTCTGTAACCAGATCTGTCTTCAAGTGGGCATGGAAGACAGTGAATGGATCCTGGATAGCGGTTGTTCACATCATATGACTGGGAATGAGAATCTCTTCACAAATCTTCATAAGTTTAAAAAGGGTAAAGTTTATTTTGGTGACAATTATAGTACTGATATTCTAGGTAGAGGTCAGGTAGGGTCAAATCCTTCCATAAAAAATGTCATGCTGGTTAAAGGACTAAAACACAACCTGTTTTCTATTAGTCGGATGTGTGGAGAATCCAATAGAGTTGTGTTTGAACCGGATAGTTGTTATGTTGAAAACATCTTGAACAAACAGATTCTTTTCACTGGTAAAAGAAAAGGAAAATTGTTTTGTATTGACTTAAATGATAAAAGTATGTTTAACAAAACCTGTCTGATGTCTATTGATAAGAATGACCAACTAGACTAGCATAGGAGGTTAGGTCATGTAGGGGTTGGAACTCTCTCGAAATTAGTGAGTCAGGATTTGGTTACAGGAATTCCTAAACTACAGTACAAGAAAGAATTCTTTTGTGAAGCTTGTGCAAAAGGAAAACAAGTCAGAAGTACGTTTAAAAGTAAACTGGTCATTTCAACTTCTAGAGTTTTAGAGCTCCTCCATTTAGACTTGTTTGGGCCTAGCAATATTAAAAGCCTGGGTGGGAAGTTCTATGAGTTTGTAATAGTGGACGATTACTCAAGATTCACTTGGGTAACATTTTTAACAAACAAAAGTGATGCCTTTCAGAGTTTTAAAACCTTAGTCAAGAGACTGGAAAATGAAAAACAATTGAAAATAGTGAGTATAAGGAGTGATCATGGAGGGGAATTTGTATCAGATGAGTTTGATATCTTCTATAATGAGTCTGGTATATCTCACAATTTCTCTGCTCCAAGAACTCCTTAGCAGAATGGAGTTGTGGAGAGAAAGAATAGGACTCTGATTGATATTGCCAGAACCATGCTTAATGATTATGGATTATCTAAACAGTTCTGAGCAGAGGCTATCAATACTGCATGTTATGTAGTAAATAGGGCCTTAATTAGATCTAAATTAAACAAAACTCCTTATGAACTCTGGAAAGGTAGGAAACCAAACTTAGGATACTTTCATCCTTTCGGATGTAAGTGTTTTGTTTTAAACACTAAGGATAAACTCGGGAAGTTTGACTCAAAATCTGATGAAGCCATATTTCTTGGTTATTCAACTCAGAGTAGAGCTTATAGAATATTTAATCGTCGGACCCTCAAGGTTGAGGAGTCCATTAATGTGGTGTTTGATGAATCTGTGAGTATGAGTACAGCTACTATTGAGGATGAAGATGATCTGGGATTGAGCAGTTCATCTGGGGCAATACACGACAAGCAAGAATTAGTTTGTGGTGAGAGCAGTGAGGCAACGACTGATGGAGACACGTCCAAAGAGATGCAGGCACCCCCTCACATACAAAAGCGACATCCAATTACTCAAGTAATTGGAAACATAAGCCAAGGTATGACTACTAGATCACATGCTGCTTCTGTCCATACTGCTTTTGTATCTCTAGTGGTACCTAGAAACATTGATGAAGCCCTAATGGATGAATTTTGGAATGCGTCTATGCAAGAAGAACTAGGGAAGTTTGAGAGAATCAAAGTCTGGGATTTGGTTCCTAAACGTGAGAATAGAACTCCTCTAGGCACTAAATGGATTTACAAAAATAAGTCAGATGAGATTGTTAATATAACTCGAAACAAATCCAGGTTGGTAGTTCAAGGGTATTGCCAGGAAGAAGGGTTGGATTTCGATGAAACCTTTGCTCCAGTAGCTAGGTTAGAAGCAGTAAGACTGTTGTGTGCATATGCTGCTTCTAAAGGATTTAAAACTTTACCAAATGGATGTGAAAAGTACCTTCTTGAATGGGGATTTAAAGGAAGAAGTTTATGTCACTCAGCCACCTGGTTTTGAAAATCACCAGTTTCCTGATCATGTATATAAACTCAACAAAGCTTTGTATGGTCTTAAACAGGCTCCTAGAGCTTGGTATGATAAGCTCAGTTCTTTCCTAATTGATGATGGGTTTCACAGAGGATCTGTGGACAAAACACTGTTTGTTAAAACTAAAGGAGATCATACTATTTTGGTACAAGTTTATGTAGATGATATCATATTTGTGTCATCTAGTGTAGACTTGTGTAAAGAATTTGAAAACTCAATGAAAAACACCTTTGAAATGAGCATGATGGGTGAACTGAGCTACTTTCTCGGGTTACAAGTAAAACAAACTTCCACGGGGATCTTTGTCAGTCAAACCAAATACTTAACTAATATGCTGAAGAGGTTTGATCTTGGAAATATTAAATCTGCAGTCACTCCGATGGGGTCAACTGCTAAACTATCTAAAGACGAGTCTGGGGTTAGAATAAATGATTGAATGTTCCGGGGCATGATAGGATCCTTGCTATACTTGACTGCAAGTCGCCCGGATATACTTTACAGTGTGTGTGTGTGTGCCAGTTTTCAAAGTTCTCCTAGAGCCAATCATCTATCGGCTGTTAAGAGAATTTTTAGGTACTTGGCAGGCACTACGTCCTTAGGATTATGGCATTCTAGGGATTCTAGTCTTGAGTTGATAGGTTATAGCGATGCTGACTTTGCTGGATGTATAGTTGATAGAAAAAGCACGTCAGGAACGTGTCATTTTCTCGCCACTTCCTTGGTTTCTTGGTCCAGCAAGAAACAAAACTCAGTAGCTCTTTCGACTGCTGAGGCAGAGTATGTGGCAGCAGGTCTGTGCTGCTCACAAGCCTTGTGGCTTAAGTCTCAGCTGTCAGACTATGGTCTTCAGCTTAACACTCTTCCAGTGCTGTGTGACAACACAAGCGCCATAAATATGTCAAAAAATCCTATCCAGCATTCACGCACCAAACATATCGAAATTAGGTACCATTTTATTAGGGATTTGGTCCAGGAAGGGAAGGTACAACTGGAGTTTATAGGGACTGATATGCAGTGGGCTGATATTTTTACCAAGCCACTTAGTGGTGATAAATTTCTTGCAATTCGAAGAGAATTAGGAATTTTTGATCTTGATGAAATCTCCACTTCCTAAAGCATTCGATGAGTCTCTTCTACCTTCCTTTATTTAAAATCCAGTTCCACAAAATCAGGGATTCTGTTCGACTTCCTTCCATGATAGTCTCTAGGGCAAGTCTTTAAAAGGCTAGCAGCTCTGTTCTTTCTCTGCACCAGTCTCTTGTTATCCTTTCATATCCTTTATTCCCCTCAAACGTCCCTTCACAATGGTGATCAACAACTCTCAAGTGAGGGCTGCTGTTGAATTCAACAACCAGGGCTTTCGAACTAGTCGTGAATATACCAGGTATCTGCGTAGCTTTCGCAATCGTGCCATTCAACCTTCCTTCACCATTCAACCATCAGCTTTCAACAAGTATGGGATGGATCTTTCCTCCTTGCTTGATGGTATCGGGTGGAGATCCTTGGCTGAAGATCATCGTTTCAGCTTCTGTCCTGAAGCAGTCAGGATGTTTTATGTGAGCATGAAATGAGGGCCAGGCCCTGAACCCTCATTTGTCACTACTGTGGTTTATAATCACAAAATTAAGGTGACCCCTGACCTGCTTGCCTCGGTTTTGTCGCTGCCTCACTCTGGTCTTCAGGCTGGGTTTGATGGGGAGTTTCATGATCAGGGGTTCGACTTCCTGACCTCGCTGTCTCTTCTCACTGAAGATACAGGGAGGTACTTTTCGAATCACCTCAATGCTGGTCGTCTTCCTGATGATCTAAAGGTGTTCCACTGGTTCATCACTCGATGCTGGCTACCTTGCGATTTGAGGAGCTCAGCTGTGCTGCATCCCACTGATCTCTGGATCTTGTCTCATGCTCGGGCTCGTCAACCCATAAGCTTTGCGTCTCTTGTTTTCTGTCACATGCTCCGCTTCGGCGATGGTGGATACAGTGGGAACCTGCCTTTTGGACCGCTGATCACGCGTCTGCTGTACAGGTTGCAGTTTGATTTGCGTGACAAGGTCACTATCTGCAAAATCCATGAGGACCTGCTCCCGAACCATATTCTCAATCGCCTGGATGCTGACGTTGGTCGTCGAAAGCTCGTCACTGGATCAAGGGGAGAAGCTGGTGAGTCCCTTCCTGCTGGCTCTGCAGTATCTCTGGAACTGGTTCCTGCGCTACTTAAGGCAGCTGTTTCAGCAATCGATGCTGAAGTAGTGAGAACCAGAGCAGCTGAATTAAATCAGGATGGATTAACCAGAGCATCGCTCGGGTTGCTGCTGTGCAAGGAACGGTTGGAGCTTATGCAGGCTCCACAGGAAGAGTTGGAGGATGAGGCAGTACCTGCTCCTGAGGACTTTGATCCCATGTCCTCGGACTCAGGAACTGATGATGATATCTCTGACTATGAATCGCCTCCCGAATATCCATTCTAGATTCCTATAGGATGTTTAATTTAGGGGGAGTTGCCCTGTCTGATTAGAAATATCTTGTTTGAATGTTACTCTGAAGTTTTTTGTTCTTTTGCTTAAGTCAAGTGTCAGTGGTCTGGTCAAGGAAATGCTATAACTTGAAAGAAAATAAGAATCTTTCCGTTTAAGCAATTCGTTCGTTTTTGTGAGAAAAGACTGCACCAAGTGTTTGCTAAGTGTGTGCAGGAAAACTACACAGCGAAGGGAGCCATTGACTAGCTTAGGGGGAGTATGTTGTGAGAAGCTTGTCAAGGCTCGAGAATGCCAACTGTGAATCATTTCTGAAGAAGGAAAGTCTTGAGAAACGGTTGAATACATCCTGACATGGAAAGTATATGGTAAAAACAAGAAAGGAAAGATCGGACTAATCAAGAGAAGATCATGGACAACGGTAGACAAAATTAGAGTATTTATACAATTGTAATCTCACCAACAGAGGACACTTTTCGAGACTCTGTCTGTGCAATCGAGAAAGAGAGAAACATGGGTTGTGAGATAGAGTGAAAAGGAGAAGTCAGTAGCAGTTGGGGAAATTGCTGGTAGAATAGCGGGTATTCTTGGTTAGGTTTTCAGGGAGAGAGCCAATTCTGAGTCTGATCGGTGACGGAGAGTTGCCTGGAGATCGAGTGTAACAGGGATTGGTTGTCAAGCTCATAGTGGAATGTCGGAGGTCTCGTTTGAGAACCTTCGGCCGTGGATTAGTCGGTACTAAATCAAATAGTACCGGATACCACGTAAAAACTCGGGTTCTCATTGTGTTGATTGCTTTTGGTTAAAGTTTGGTTCTTGTTGTTGGTAGCTCTGTTTTGCAGGTTTCTCAGTCGAACATGGAAGTCTGCCCAAGAACAGGTTTGGTCAAGAATCCATCTGATCAAAGAGACAAGGAGCAGTCAACGAGCAGAACAACGGGCCTGTCGCATCTTTCAGGTCCATCTTACTAGACCTTTGATTTGGGCCCATTTGCCGTTTCATTCTGTTTATTTCTTTTTCTTAACACTACTGTTTTTCGATCTGTCGTGTTAGACCTTACTCATTACCAATTCGTTTTACAGAAAACCAAATTAGAGTTTCCATCCAAAGAGAAGAAAAAATCTCGCGCTCGAACCACCAACAATATGAATTGGTAACCACTGTCAAAATTTGTTTATCATATTCATTGGAGAAATGAAATTATTTATTACTTCTACTAAAGTGCTTGTTTAATAGAACAACAAGGAGCTGCAACAAGAAATAATTGACAATGATGTGGAGCAGAACAACGCAGCAGAGGAAGAGCCACCAGAATTGCGGGTGTATTCTGACACACATAAGAAGCGCAATGGAGAATGGATTAATCCAGCTACCAAGAAAAATTATGTAAGAATCTCTTCAACTAAGAACATAAATTAGAACTGTCATTAACACAAACCAAAGTGATAGGCTTAAATAAAATAAAGCAATGTTGTGCCAATTCATAACATGCTTCCTCTTGGAAAACTCCATTTTGTTGGATGTCCTGTTAGTATAATAGTGTAGTTAGATCAGTTTGAGGTAGATTAGCGTTAAATAAAATAATCGAATTAATACGAAAAACATTAATTTGAGCAGCCTCATTGATACGAGGAAGTATTGCATGTGTGTGTCATACTACTGTTGCTATCTTGTTTGACTTGTTTGTTATTTTAATTTTCGTTAATAGTTAATCTTCATTCATTCATTTGAAATCAAACTGTATTCTTAATTTGTAGGAAGATATGACTGATCTCCGTAATCAAGCCATACAAGATGGAACTGAAGTGTTTGGTGGTCAGATTGTTGAGAAGGTACTGAAGAAAAAGCCTACCTATGCTCGGAACATAAAGCATACGGCTCGGGAGGTGCAGCTTGAAGCAGAATTGCAAGCCGAGAGAGCTCAAAGGCAAGCTTAAAAGGAGAGTTTTGAAAGGCGAAGCAAACAGTTTGAGGAGCATATTGAAATCCAACAAAAAAATATACAAAGTCATGACAATAAGTTTGAGGCGATGGAAGAATCACACAATCGCCTTCAAGCTACTGTTCTTGAGTTGGCTGCCAAAATGAATGATGCTAGCAGAAGCTGATTCTCTTAGTACAAGGTAACAACCAACTTTCTTATTGCTCTAACCCTTCTTGGTTTCGTTAGTAAAATTTATTCCCTGAAATTTTTAAGCTGACAGCTTATTTATTCAAGTTTTATATGCAATAGAGGAATCCAATGATCCTCTTCTTCTATTGCTTTCTTTCTGTTGCTTCCACTGTCACCTTTTTTGTTTTTCTCCTTTGTGTCTTGTGTTGGATTTTGTTCCAGCAACTGTAATACTTTTTTTAAAAATGGGTCATAATGCATCTTATTTAATGCAGAAACTCATATACTTTTGCTTTCTTCACAGGTGATCTTTGCATATAGGGATTTAGTGCCTTGAGAAGATATGAAGGATTCTAGGTGAAGGATTAGTTGTACATGGAACACCAGGATCATTATTCATTTCAAGAACTTCTTTTTGTCGTACTAACTAGTCAGTACTCAACGTGTTTAGTCAAAAGTAACTGGAGTTGTCAGTGATGGTTTATATACTATGCTACCCATTTCAGACGATGAATGGCTATTTTATATTATAATGAAATGTTTGTTTTCTTGCAAAGTATACAACGAAAGCATATCCACCACTACATAATGACAAACGCTTTCATCCACACAAACCACATTGTGACAACAATTCATTGTGGCAGAATTAATTTGCCATAAGCTCGATTTTGAATTAAAATCATTAATTTGACAAAATGCTTCTTGTCATAGTAACATCAATGGTGACAAAGAGCTTTTGTAATTCTTGACATCATAATATGAAGTTGTGACGAATTGGGTTTTGTTACTGTAATGTTATGGTGACAACAAACTTTTTGACATGTAATGAAATGTGACGAATGTGTTTATCATAATGTAATTATGAATAATGTGAAAATGACTAAATCTGCAATTAATAACTAGATTGTGACAATGCTATTTGTCATAATAAAGTTGCAAAATATTATCTCTTATGACAAATTTGTAATTGTGACAAATATTAATGACAAAATGACTTGTCACGTTATACATGTTAGTAGCAACATGACCTCAAACTAACATGTCTAATGACAAAACGGTTATTTAAATCTGATAAAATAGTAACTAGTTGTGACAAAAATGTTTATCACAAGAATGTTCTATTATGACAAAAGGTTTTCGGGTTAATTGCATGGTTGGTCACTGACATTACAAAAAGCGTTCATGTTTGGTCACTGGAAAAATTTAAATCCATTTTTGGTCACTAACTTTACAAAAACCGTTCATTTATGGTCACTCTCCGTTAGCTGTCGTCCAACGCCGTTAACGGCGTCCGTTAAGTGATGACGTGGCTAACAGATTCGGCTAATCAGCACATTTTAACCCGAAAATTGACTGACCCGACCCGCCACGTCATTTAAACCCTCCATGTCAGCCAAACCTAAACAAACCTCTACCCAAATCGACCCGACCCGCTAACTAAAACCAAATCAGACCAGACCCCCAAAATTGTTTGACTAAAACCCTAATCAAAGACTGCCCCCATCCCGCGCAGCCTCCATCTCGTCGACAACGCCACCACCGCCGCCGCGATCTTCCTCCAGCACTGCGCCTGGTACTTCCCCGAGGGCCGATTCAACCCCGGGGACGCCGTCGTCATGCTCCACTACGCCTACGGCGCCGTGAACAAACCCAACTTCACCACTTACTTCGAATTCCAAATCTTCTTCCCCAATCAAGACAATTCCAACGCCACTTCCGGCGGCGGGTTGGCCTTCTTCCTGACTTCCGAGGACAGATCCTCGTTCGTCCCCGCGGGCTCCGCCGGCGGTATGTTGGGCTTGTTCAATCAGGCTGACGAGGGCGAGGATTCCAACCAGATCGTGGCCAACATTAATCTAGAAAGACGAGAACTGGCGAGATCCAGCAGTGGCTTTTGCTTTCAAATCATCGATTTTCTTCTTGCTGAAGTGGAAGGTGCCTTCCTTCAAAGGTGGAATGACTAGATTATCCTCGTTGAAATCTCTAATTCTCGACCAGGAGACTCTAACTTCTTTTTGAATTGATTCGAGCGACGAATCTCTGGTGAACACCGGCGGCGAGTGATCGCCAGATCCGCGGCAGATGCTGGACCAGATCCGGTGGAAGTTCCAGTGTGTGGTCCCGTCGGCGACGGCGTGGTTGATCGTCCAGCCGATGAACACTCCGTCGACGAGCTCTGTTACTTGGATCGACATCAGCGGCCTTGTGAATCCGTGGTAGTTCTTCACGTCGTTGAAGGGGAAGAACGACCAGAGGACGGGAGCGGGAGGGACGGGGAAAGGCTGGTTCAGAGCTTCGTCGATGGTGACGCCATCGGCGACGGCGTGGAGGAACGGGCATCCGGCGTCGTTGCAGTCGATGTAGACGGTGGCGGAGCCGTCGGGGTGTTTGGGGTCTGGTCTGGTTTGGTTTTAGTTAGCGGGTCGGGTCGGGTTTGGGTAGAGGTTGGTTAGGTTTGGCTGACATGGAGGGTTTAAATGACGTGGCGGGTCGGGTCAGTCAATTTTTGGGTTAAAAGGTGCTGATTAGGCAAATCCGTTAGCCACGTCATCACTTAACGGACGCCGTTAACGGCGTTGAACGGCAGCTAACGGAGAGTGACCATAAATGAACGATTTTTGTAAAGTTAGTGACCAAAAATGGATTTAAATTTTTCCAGTGACCAAACATGAACGCTTTTTGTATTGTTAGTGACCAACCATGCAATTAACCCAAAGGTTTTCGTTACAAAGAAACTTATCCCTCTTGTGACAAACTAAGATTATTTTTGTCATAATAGATCTATTACCACGGGGTTTTTTAACAAACCATGTTTGTCACAATCTTTGTCACAACAGGATTGTAGTGACAAAATCGAAGACTATTATGACAAAGGTAACCTGTCACTATAGACCAAATTTGTTGTAATTAATTAAAAAGTCTCATGGGTAAGTGATACCTTAGCGGTGGATGTGGTGGTGATTGAACAACTAATGTCAAACGAGGCTTAAAAATTCCCTCCTCTATGAATGGCAAAAAACATCCATCTCAAACCCAATTTATTA